AACTTGTGTGTCTTAGGATCTGTTGCAGCCATAATTTTGTCATACGACGTCATATCTCCAGACAACTTCGCATTTTCAGACATCATGAAATGCTCACCACATGGATAACGTACCCCCAGTACGTCAAAAGCCAAAGGAGTCCATTGCGAGAACACAGACGGAGGTTTCCAGAAAAGAAGGACGTCATCCGAAGCGTACTCGCACTTGTCATCAAACGGCGGAGCCGGTGCAGGGCGAAAGGGAAAAAGGCGGGCACCAGGCACAGGCGGGGGTGGACCAGGCGGACGAGTCCTCTTCTCCGACGGGGAGGACCCAGAAAGCGAGGCAGGAGCGGGCGAAGTCGCAACGCTCCGTGATCCGGAGGGCGGCCTTAGGGCGGCGGCTCCGGCGGGGTCAATGTTAGCAGAGGCCATTCGGCTATTAGAGACCCGTTCGTTAGGAGAAGTCATTCCTGCAACAGACGGATGTTTGATCATTGACGCAGGGCGCTCCTTGACTACTGCCCCTTGACAAAGGAGCCGAACCTTCCACAGAATGGTGGGCACTACCATCCGATCCCGATGGCAGTGGTGCAGTCAACACGTGGTGGGCAGCAGAGGAAGACGCATTCGTATCAGGTGCTGTCACACGGGGGCAGCGGACGGTCGAAGACAACGAAAGCTGCGAAAGAGAAGGAGGATCGACGGGGTTCCCGACGAGTGTAGAAGAAGGCTCGTGTGCGATCCGAGAAGAGGCCCGGCTGACAACACCAGGAGAGTCTTGACGAATAGTAGAAGACGAGGTTCTTGTTCCTTCTGTAACCCGAGACGACGAGGTGAGCAGGGATGGACCGCTCGACGTCTTACCTCCCTGTCGCCCACACCACAAAGGTACTGCCGAAATGGGTCTGTCATGTCCATTACCAGAAGGCGATGAGGCGGACGACGAGGAGGTGGGCCGAGAAACTAGACGTGATTGAGGAGCGTGGGGAGTATCCAAAGAAATACGCTGTACACGAACATCTTGGGAGACTCCAAAAGGG